AGGTGTTAGCCACTGTGCCCAGATTTCACAGTTTAATTCAACTAAATTTCATCTATGATTTTGGAGCACCTACTGGGGAAGGCATTATGGGGGGCATGTGAGAAGTTATTTAGGAAGATGGATTAAATTTGATTGCATGGCGTGTTGCTTATTCATCAAATATTCAATGAGTATGTGCTAAGTGCTGTGCTAAGTAATGGTTATACACTGATAAGTAAGTTTGTCTTTGCCTTCAAGGAGTTTACAGTCTAATCTGATACAATCCTCATCTCCATCACCCATAAAAGTGCCAATAAAATCTTCACACTTCATTACCATCCAATGTTGAATGAAACAGAGTGCTGGGACTGGCCTCAAGATACGTGTAATTTCAGGGTTGCTCAAAGATGACCAGCTCTATTAGGAATATTTTAGAATTTCCTAGCATCAAGTAACTGTCGTATAGTAGATGTTCAATAAATAATTGTTGGATGAATACCGATACATTCACATATACAAGCAACGTTGTAGTGGAGAATTGGCTCTGGTATCCGAAGACCTGGATTCAGGAGGTACTAGCACTTACTGGCTGGACAATTTGTTCAACCACTCAGAACCTCAATTTCCTCATCTATAAAAGAGGAATAATGTCACATGGTTGGCCTATTTAATTATTAATTGACTGGTAGTAAAATGTACTGGACACCATGATAAGCACCCCTATGAGTCAGGTACTTTTATCTGATGTGAAAACTAAGAGAGGTTGGCCGGACTCGGTGGCTCACCCCTGTAATCCCAGAACTTTGGGAGGCGAGACGGGCGGATCAGGAAGTCAGGAGTTCCAGACCAGCCTGACTAACATGGTGAAACCCCATCTCTGATAAAATACAAAAATTAGCTGGGGGTGGTGACGCGTGCCTGTAATCTCAGCTACTCAGGAGGCTGAGGCAGGACAACCGCTTGAACCCAGGAGGTGGAGGTTGCAGTGAGCCGATATCATGCACCTGCGCTCCAGCCTGGGTGACAGAGTGAGACTCCATTTCAAAAAAAAAAAGAAAACTAAGAGAGGTGAAGTTCAGAGTTCAAGGTCACAGGGTTGATAAGGCAGGAAATCAAAATTTGATTCTGGGCGGCGTGACTGCGAAGATGGGAACACTTCACCACTTCCTCATATACTGCCTGGTATTATGGTCATCTGAGAACTTGGATTCCAAAACGCTGTATATTTTAACACATTACAGCAATGTAAAATGTTCATCTTCTAATTTTAAGGTAATTACAAGTTTAAAAAGATGGGTTTGTTGGATTAGGCCATGTTGGGCTCATGAGGGCATTGCATTCATTTACTGTAAATAAAAAAGGGCCCAGGAGGAAGAGCTAGTCCTTTGTACCCACAAAGCCTAGAAACAAGGCACTCAGCCAGGTGTGGTGGCTCACACCTGTAATCACAGCACTACGGGAGGCTGAGGCGGGTGGATCACTTGTCAGGATTTCAAGAGCAGCCTGGACAACATGGTGAAACCCCATCTCTACTAAAAATACAAAAAGTAGTTGGGCATGGTGGCCCGTGCCTGTAGTTCCAGCTACTCGAGAGGCTGAGGCAGGAGAATCACTTGAACCCAGGAGGCAGAGGTTGCAGTGAGCCAAGATTGCGCCACTGCACTCCAGCCTGGGCAACAGCGAGACTTTGTCTCAAAAAAAAAAAAAAGAGACAGGACAGTAATCACCCAGATGTATTATGTATTCATTTGTTTATTTGTTATTTGATGTCTCAAGAGAATGGAAGTTCCAAG